TTCCCCAGCACTGGTGCCCTCATGAGTGAAGACTCGGTTGACGAGGCCAACCTTCAAGGTGCTCCCTGGCTGTGCATGGTCACCGGGAACGACACGAGGCTGATGCCTCCAGAAGCCACAAGCAGGCAGTGGTGACGGTGCCGGGGAGCCGTGTCAGAGAAGCAGCTTCGCTAGTGCATCCGGGAAGATGTCACTGAACAGTGACCCCCCACACCCACACGGATCCAGCAGCTCAGAGATGCTTGGTCCTTCTCTTTTCTGCTCTAGTAAAGCAAGTATTTATTGCGATACTGAAGCTCAGGAAATTAACACTGACGATGACATCTTAAAACTTGAGTCTTAACTATAACAGACCCATAGTCGTTCTCATCAGAATGTTGGACGTCACATTCAGCAAAGGGTGGGACTAATATATCCTACAGCCTTGAAGATATTAAAAAAGGCTTCTCTTCAAGGTGTGATATGGTACAAAAATACATTTTTCTACATACAAAAGACAGAAAAGAAAGAGAGATCAGGGAATCAGGGGAGGCCAAAGATTCCATGGAATGGAGAATGAAGAAAAAAAAGAAATCACCAACTACTTGGGGTTAAGAATATGCCCAAGGACCAGCCCGTGGTGTAGTGGTTAAGGCAGGCGGTTGGGGTCGTGGTTAAGGCCGCTGGTAGCCACGCGGCCAGCTGCGTGTTTGAGTCCTAGACCCGGGGGCTTGAGAAACACGGAGGACGCATGTGCGTGTGCACCCGAAATCCCAAAGGGAGGGAGGAGTGGAGAAGGGACGGTGGTGCGACCAGGCCCCATGGAAGATGCTTTCTCACTTTCTCTTTGTCTCTCTCCAACACCTTCTAACAAATTTTAAAAAAATAAATAAATAAAAGTGAGCTATGTATTAAAAACCCAAGGCCTTTTCCATTTTTTCGGACCTGGCATCCCGAACTTCAATCAGAATTTAATGTTCTACCCTGAAATGATATTCAAAATTAACTAGGTGCTTTAGCTTCAAGGCAGAAGGCCAGCCAGCGCATGGCAGTTAAGGCGGCTAGATTTCACTGGGCCATCTGCACGGTTTGAGTCCCGGGCCTAGGGGCTTAAGAATGGCATTGGGTGCATGCCCCAAGTCCTGAGAGGAATGGAGAAGAGCTTGCAGCGTGGCCATCCCTCCAGGGGTGCTTAATCATTCTGTCTCGGTCTCTCTCTGGTGAGTGCATATACCCTATAGCTAGTTTGAGGAGAGAAAAAAAAGACATTGGGGCCAGGCGGTGACACAATGGTGGTGCAGCTGGGCCCCCAGATTTACATCCTGTCCCCTCCCTGGACGTTCCAGGTGTGGTGTGCACGTTTCAGGTTGGCTGAGCCCTGAGCGGACTGTGGTGTGACATCCCGTGGTGGAGGGTGCTGGCTCTAGCTCCCTCATATGGAAAAAATTTAAATAAACTTTAAAAAATGAAGCCATCTTTCACTGAGTGTGTCAAGCCATAAAACTGCCCTCGCTGGTCCCCGTGGTGCCATGGAGAGGGAGCCGGTCCCACATGGCTGACACAGCGGGAATTCTGGCCCCATGGATCGAAAACCACTCCACGCACGTGTATGCACAGGGTCCTGATGGCCGGAGAGACACGGAAATAAGGATGAGCAGGCCTTGTCGGAGCGGGGAGGGGAGGTGCTGTCTCTTTCTTGCACCCTCTAACCAAAAAAGGAAAACCAAAAACGGCCCGAGAGCCTCCACTTACCCAAACTGGAAACAGTGCATGTTTTTGAGAGCAGCGTTCTGAGAGTGGTCTCACTCCATCAGCACCTAGGACATGTGCTCCCCACTGTGCCCTTTGGGTCCTAGGGTGAGGATGAGGAACCATGGATTGAAAACCACTCCACACACGTGTGGGTTGTGCAGGACAGGCAACGGTGGCTGCCGTGACCCCGCGGCCTTCAGAGCTGTGTTCTGCAAAGCCAGTCTCCTAGGGAGGACTTTGCAAAGGAGCGCGTCCCCCGGCCCTGGCCCAAGGTCTGCCAAGCTCCTTTGCTCAGGACCCCAGCAGCTACCCACTCCGCCACCACCACTCTCGGCCCCCGATACACCTCAAATGAAGACGCAGCAAACTTCAGACAGAAAGCACCTCAAATTTCAGAAAAACAATTCGGGTCTTTCCCGAGGCTCGCCTATCACAGCTTAGGTGTCCTGAGAACCCTCCAGAAGCAGCAGTGGACTTGGAGATGGTTGGCCGCTCCTGCTCACTGCCCCTCAGATCCTGCGTCAACCAAAACCTGCGGGTTCCAGCGTCCCTCCCCGGCCGGGCTGGCCTGCAGTGAAGCAGGGCTATCGGATTGTCGTGGGACCCGCCACGCAGCCCAGAAGGCAGGTCCGGGCACCCACCCCCACACCCCCTTTGCCCTGTCCTGGCACTGGCCTTTTGGAAATGCTTGAGTTAAAAATATCTGGAAGTACAGAGGGAGGCATCTCGGGACTCCTGAGACCATGTCCCCATTTAGAGATAGGACCCACGGCGGTGGTGGGCGCCGCTCAGATCCAGAAGAGGGCGAGTCTGAGCCTTGAGCCCAGCTGCCCGCACTGAGACGGGGCGACATTCACAAAGTCAACGTCCACCCCCAATAACATGAAAACTCACGGTCTGGGAACAGGAAAACCACGACGCGGCCCTCACCCACCAACCCTCCGCGGCAGGAAAAAACGGTCGCATCAAAGCTTCTCTCAAATGTCCAGTTAGCATATTCTTCCCCTTCCATGTAAAGTTGAAATAAACTTGACTCAATCCGCCTTTATTAAAAAACCTTACAAAAGATGTATTTAAATGCTTGAAAAAACTAACTTTATGCTCTATGCTCAGATAAATTTCTTACTGTACAGCTAATACGGTTATATCCTTTGTTTAAAAAATATTTCCCCTAACGACACTTGGACGTAGTCCCGCATAAGGGTCCTCTCGCTCCTCCCGGGACGCGGGGCCCCGCTGGCCACGCCCTCGCCACGCGCCCGCTTTGCTCAGCCGCATTTATTAGGATGGTGTGGGGTTTGGCGGTTTCTTTTTCCTCCGTCTCTGTCTCCCGGGGGCCCGCGCTGGCGCCGGAGGGCCGGGCGGGCCGGCTGACCTTCACTTGTCCTTGGGGCGGTCGAGGCTCTCCAGCACCCGGTTGAGGCGGATGTTGAGCAGTCTGACCTGGTTCTCCAGGTGCTCCAGCTTCTCCTCCACGCCGGGGCCGCCGGGGCCGGAGCTGCCGCGCCAGTAGACGCCCATGGGCCCGGTCATGAAGTAGACCGCCACCACGAAGCACAGCGGCAGCACGGCGTGCTCCGGCTCGCCCTCGTGCTTGTGCAGGACGTACACGCAGGACATGGAGAACAGCAGCACCCGCACCACCCAGAAGAAGCGGCCGAACAGCAGGTGCAGGACGCCGAAGGTGAAGCCCAGGGTCAGGGACAGGAACCAGTAGGCCAGGAGGATGACGCCCACCAGCAGGAGGGCGCGGGCCGGGCTGTTGGCCACCGAGGCCGGGCTGAAGTACTGGGACAGGTTGGAGACTGCGGGCGGAAAGAGGAAGCGGGGTCAGGGCCGTCTTGGCTCAGAGGCAGGGCTGGGCCTCAAGGCCTTGGACAACCCCAGGAACTAACCACACCCCTCCCTCAACCTTTGAACTACCCCTGCTGACAGCCCAAGGAACTAACCAAGCCACACCCTTAACCTTTGCCTATCCCCGAGAGGAGGTGAGGAGGCATGGGGTAACCTCTGCCATTTCAGAACCTGCAGGCTGTCCTTCAAATCTGCATAGCACTGAACACCCACTTTCCAGCTGGGCAAACGGTTGCCTAGGGTAAGGGCATTTCCTAGCATTCCTGGACAAAGCTTTAACAAAGGAGAGGTTAAACATTTTTTAAATTTTTTTTAAAAAGGCGTTTTACAGTAGGTTCAAGGCCTTTTCCTGAAGGAAGAGACACTGTGCCCTTTATCTCTTCTTCCACAAATGTGAGCACAATGGCTGGAGTGGAAGCAGCTATTTTGGGCCAAGAAGGCAAGGAAGTCATTTATGGGAAACGGAGGTACTTCAGGGTGGCAGAGCCTTCATCCCTGCATAACCAATACCTAGGAGCTGCCCCATCAGAGAGAAACAAGCTTCCCCGCTCCTGAACCACTATCTGGGGGTTCTGTCACTCTCAGGCAAACCGAACCCTAACCTGCGCACACCAAGTTTTATCTTTTCAGAGTGGCATCTTCTTGAGCCCAGCTGGAGGCCCATAATAAGCATCGCTCAGGCCAGCCACACACCCTGCTGGTTTAGCAGCTGGATCCCACACGGCTGACTTGAGTTCGAGTCCCAGCCTCGACAGCCTGAAAACCGCACCAGGCACAGGTATGTGTGCCCCAAATCCCAACAGGGTGGAGAGATGAGGGACTACCACGGGACCACACCCCCTGGGGGGGCTTTCCTCCTCGCCCTCTCTCTGTCCAGCAAGTGCATGGACCCTCTGGTAATTTTTTAAACATGAAAGAAAATAAAAGGCATTGCTCAAAGGTAAGTGAAGACCCAGGGGCGGACGTGCTTCTCGGCTTGGCCAGGTAACGTGTACACACTCGCCCAATCCCCGGGGTGAGGACGGGAGGCTGCTCCCCATGGCCTGGCGTGGAGAATCCAGATCGTCCAGGTCCCCAGCTGCACGAGGACGTCCCTCTGGGAGTGGAGCCTCCGTAAGCCGCCGAGTACTCGGGAACTGACAGTGGCCGGAAGCCGCCCTGACCACAGCACGGCGTGCAGACGAGGCGTGTGGGGGCTCTGCCATCGAGGACTCTGTGCCGGGGTCCACAGCCGGGGACAGCAGGGCCCGTATCTAGGAGTCTGGCTCCAGGGCCACCTGGGCCTGCCCACCCAGCGCAAGCTCCTCCTGGTTTGCCACTCATGGCTCCAGTCAGCAGAGGACCTCGGCAACCTGAGGAAGACACCAGCCACCCCGGCTCCTGGTCAGGGCTCAGGACGTCCCCAGGCCGTCTCTGGACCAGGCAAGGTTGTCCTGAAACAGGATGACTCCAGGTGCCAAGGGCTGGACACAGACGGGACTGCGTCTCAAAGCCCCAGGGCCGAGGAGAGGTGAGACCCACACGCTCGGTTCTCTGTACCGATTCCTAGTGAAACGGTCTTTTTTTCTTTTAGGTTTTTACCATAGGATGGGTGTACTCTCAGGAAAGACAGAGACAGGGACAGGGAAAGTGAGAACTCACCCCCCAGGAGGCACCACATCGTGACCCCTTCTCCTCCCTTCTCCCCTCGGGATTCTGGGCACACACACAGGCACCTGGCGTGATCTTGAAGCCTCTGGGTCGGGGCCTCAAACCACAGTCAGGCACGTGGGAGTCCAGCACCGTATCCACCACGCCACCTGCTGGCCCCAATGACCTTTCTGAATGTACTGGGTTAGCTAAAATACCTTCTCAATCTCACAGTTTATTTTTACTTACTTGTTTTTCCCAGTGTGGGGTGTGTGGTGTTAGAGAGAGGTCCATGTTGCCACCCGCCCGCCTCAGCCTCCCAAGTAGCTGGGACTACAGGGCACCATGTCCGGCTCTTAGGGCACCCTGGGAATTGAACCTGGGCCTCCGTGTGGCCTCAGCTTGCCTAGCAGCAGCGCCCAGCACATATAACACATACAACCTCCTTTTTCTGTTTGTTTTTTTTTTTTCCTTCTTTTATAAGAGGTTTTTCCCTTAAGGGGGGTGAACTCAACACGGGA